TTTTTAATTTTTTTTTTAATGAGCAATTCTTAATCTTAAAAGATTTGGTAACTCTGACATTCTTAAGTTTCTAGTGAAACCTGTGCCTGATAATACCTTTATGAAATTCCTGCTGCCTCTGCCTGTAAACACCGACTCCACATAATGCTTACAAAATACAAGTTCCCAAAGGAAAAAAAAATACAAGTTCCCAGACCTGTTCTAGGAGGGGGACAGTGGTCAAACTCTAACTGACCAAGTTTCTAACAGGTACCTTTTCTTGCCAGAGCTTTATGTGTCTCTAGCCTTACACTTGCTCAAGAAAAACAGGAACCAGGGCCTGAAGTTGCGAAATCTTATGAACCCATCCTAGAAGGATGGTGCAGACCATCAAGTGTCCAGCAGCAAGAGAAGTTCAGAACAGCGCACTGGCTAGCAGGCCCCACAGCCTGCCCCACCCCGCCCCACATGACCCAGGCCCCGCCCCATGGCGACCCCTTCTCCGTCACAGCCTTTCCAAGCCTTCCTGGGCAGGAGAAAGTCCTTGAGGCATGGTCCACCCTTTCCTCAGCCAGAGGGCTCTGAAATAAACCTGATTTCTTCCCACTAGCTCTTGTCTCAGTATTGGCTTTCCAGTGCTGAGCAGCTGGACCCAGAGTTGCGGCAGGATGTTACAAGTAACACCAAGTTCAGACTACCCCAAATCTAATTTTTAAAAATTTCATTATTTGAAAGACATTTAAGGACATAAAAGCCTTAAACTGGATTAACATGTATAAATAGATCATTCTTCTATGAATGTCCTTGATTTTCCAAAGAATATATTCAAGAACTTTTACAAATTAAACCATCTAGAAGTAACTGAGCTGGAAACAATGGGACGAAAAACCTGTGTCAGCAGGTTAACCAATAAGACACAGGTCAGGACCAACTCTGGAACTCCAACCCAGTCAGACTGAGGAAGCAACCCTAAAATCTAAATAAAAAATTGTGGTTATATCATCAAAAGTTGGCTGTTGAAAAGAAAAGACGGATTTCAACAAAGGATCCAAAACACTGTACTACAGGTAATTTGGACAATTGTTAGCAGCTCTTCAGCCATTCTTGGTCCACACTTGAACTGCCTTGTACCCACATCTGACTCGGGAGACAATGTCACTGGTACAATAATCGAAACTCTAACAACCCCTGAACAACACGAGTACGGACTTCGTGGGGTCCATTTATACCCAAAACGCCATTTTTTCTGTGGCATCCACATTCACTACTCCACCAAGCCAGGATGGTGGGTGCTGGCTGGCTGTGGGGAGCCGGGACCCCCACCTTTGGGGAACCACTGTGCACGTGGACTTGTAACTGTGCAGGGGTTGATGCCACTGAGGGTTGTGCTCCTGAGCCACCTGTAATTTATTAGTCATTCAGCACAGTTTATGCTAAATAACATGGATGTTGTGGTTTTGACCCCCATAAATATAAAGCCATTCAAATTAGTGACTTACTGTCTTACTACAAAAAGTTAAATATTGTCCAAAAATTGTTTACATGCAGATACACTTATCATTTATATTTCTCCTGTACATCATGGAGAAAATAGTTAGCTAGTGTGTGCTGTCTGAGAAAGATGGACTTTCCTATCAGACTCCTCCTTCCAGTAGGCAGAATCCCACAAAAGCCAGCACTAACAGATGGGGGGGGGGTGCGGTGTGTGCAGGAGAGGGCAGCGGGCCAGGCCGCTCACCCCACAATGCGCAGCTCACCCCACAGACGCGCCTCTTTGCAGCATTTGCCCAACAGGAGAACATAAGACACTCTCATGTGGTCCCCATGATGTGTCAGTTTTATGCCATACACTGACATGATCAGGGTAAAATTAAACTGAAAACACTGAATCAACATAAATTATTTATTTTTTTAAAGATTTATCCATTTATGCATACAAGAGCTGGGGTATAGGCCAGAGATGCGGGAGGGTGAGAGGATCCACCAGAGACAGAGCAGGGAACAGAACAGGCAGACTGATGAAACACACTGCTGAGGGGAGCAGCGGGCGAGACAGGGGAGGTCTGCTGTGCCATGTGGGTAGTTCCCTAGCCGGTCAGGGATCGAACTCAAGCTGCGGAGGCTGTGGATTGCTTCATAGTACAGTGCTTAACCCCTTGCGCCACAAGGGAGGCTCCAACATGAATTATATTAATTATAACAATGACTATTTTATTTATATATAAGATATTTATACAAATATACACAAGACTGTAAAATATCCCTAAAAGCACTTGTTTATATATTTTAAAACGTCAATGTTTCAAAGATCAATCAATGCCTTCTAGTTAAATTAACAAGATATCTAGTCATGCTCATGATACACATTTTAATTTTTCACTAAATAAGAAACATGAATAGTTAAAGATACATTAAATTGCCAGTATTTGCACCTCTGAGGCTCAGGCATCTGACCCATTAGGCTACAGATGACCCAAGTAGAGGCCCTGGCCCCACAGCCTCGAGTGGACAGCAGAACCACCCAGACCTAACAAGACGGACACCGCCCAGACTAACAAGAGGCCACTTCAGTTTTCCACAGTGACACCAGGGCCAGAGGGAGCGTCCACAGCAAGAGCACAGCTCCAGGGTGTGGACATCCTGCCCGCTGCTACATGTATGCATGAAAATGATAAAAATTTAATTTAATTTTAATAAAATGTTTACTCCCATGGTTCCAAGAATGACTAATAACAAAGTCAATGCAAAATTCAAAATTGTAGGGGGGCCTCCCTGGTGGCCATCCCCGGCCAGGGAGGTGACCCACATGGCACAGCAGACCTCTCCTGTCTCCCCGCTGGGACCCTCAGCAGTGGATTTCACTCAATCCACCGGTTCTGCTCCCCCTCTGCTCCCCGCTCTGTCTCTAATGAATCCTCTCACCCCCCCCACACACACATCCGGTCTGCACCCCAGCTCTTGTATGCATAAATAAATAAATCTTTAAAAAATACTTTAACAGGGCCTCCCCGGTTGACTGGTGCGATGCCCGCGGCCTCTGCAATTCAATCCCCGCTGCTCCCCAGCCACCAGAGGAGGGTCCCCACATGGCAGACCTCTCCTGCCGCCCGCTGCTCCCTCAGCAGTGTACTTCGCTTCTGCAGCTCTGCTCCCGCTCTGGCTCTGGTGAATTCTCTCACCCTCCCGCTTCTGACTGTACCCGTGCATGTATAAACAGCAAACAATAAACAAATAAATAAATCAAAACATGCCTCTATAAAAAATAAAAAAAAAAAAAAAAAAAAAAAAATACTTTAACATTATATGTGACTTTTATGCGAATAAATAGTTTTGATAGACAACAGTCCTGGTGCTGTAAGTGGTATAAACATACATAATTTCGTAACAAAGGCACCATTCGCCAAGGCTTGGCGTACACAAGGGCCTCGCTATGTGTCCATTCTTTAAAATTATTAATGCCCGCCATTGAAACATTTTGTTCATTCATGCTGCCGGTTACCTGCATAATTGAAAGGAATTGATTGAAAATTGTCAGCCATCACTGGGTAAAAAAGGTTTCAGGAAGCAGCTGAATGAGCAAGAATAAAGAAGCTTATTCTTTGATACTTGCTAAATCCTCATTTCCTTCCCACCGCAGCAGCAAACAAGGTAGAGAAACTACTACTGAAGAAAGAAGAGCTGTTTTCACACAAAAGCGTCCTTCACGGGAAGACTCCAGACTCCAGACCGAGGCTCCGCGTCCGTGTGGAACCGGCTCGCGGCCTCCTCAGGCCCGGCAGGAAGCGCGGGGGCCGGGGCGGGGGTCCGCCCGCCGGAGCCCGGGCCGCGGCGGGGCGGCGTCTGAGGCGCTCCACGGGCGTCTCCAGGGGGGCAGGGGCGACCCGCCCGCGAGACCCTCGGCGCCCCCCCCGGCTCGCGGGTCTCGGGCCCCCCGCGCGCCCGCCAGCCCGGCTCAGCCCCGCGGCCCGGGACCGCGGCGCCTCGCCCGACCCCGACCCCGACCCCGCCCGCCCCGGGCCCCGCGCGAGCCGCGGCGCGAGGGGGAGCCGCGCCGACCCCCCGCCCCCCCCGGCCCCGCCCCCCGCCCCGCGCGCGGGACCCTCGGCGAGAAACGGGCGCCGCCGCCACGGGGCCCGGGGAGGGCCGCGGCCCACGCCCGCCCCTCGCCCAGGGCGCCCCAAACGCCACGTCACCCGCCCGGCCGCGCGAGGAGGGGCGCCCCGGGCCGGGCGGGGGGGGCGGGGGCCGGGGCGCCCCGCCGCCGACACGTCGGGGCCTTACCTGGGCCATGGCGACCGCGGCAGGTCCGGGGCTGCAAGACAGACAGAGGCCGGGGTCCCCCACCGCCCGCCCCGCCCGCCGCCCCGGCCCGCCCCGCGCCCCCCGCGCCCCCCGCCCCCCGGCGCCCCCGGGACCCCCGGCCCGGCCCGGGACCCGCTCACGCCGACCCGGCGACCGCGACCCCCGCGCTCACCGCGGGCGGACGGCGGGACGCGGCGCAGCGGCTGGAGGCAGCGCCCGGGCGGCCCGGAATAGCGGACCGCGCGCCCGCCCCGCCCCGCCCGGCCCGGCCCCCCGGCCGCGCCCGCCCCGCCCGCCCCGCCCGGCCTGGGGACCCCCCGCCCCGGCCTGGGGCGCGGCCCGGACGCGCGGGCGGAGCCGTGGGCGGGCCCCGCGGAGACCCGGCCGGGCGGCCCGGGGCGTCGGCCTGGCGAGGCCCGCGGCTGGCGGGGCGGCCTCGGGAGCCCGGAGCCGCCGTGGGCGTCGCTGGCCGCTGCCGGCCCCGCGCCCCCGTTGCAGGCCCGGCCCGTCCGCGGCGGGGGCGCCTCACAGCCGCTCGCCCCGCGGGACCCGCGCAGGGCCGGGCGGAGGCCGAGCCCGCGGGACGACGGACGGGCTCGCCGGGCGGCCGGCTGGGCCCGGGGGGGGGGGGGGGGGGGGGCGAGACGCCTCTGAGGAGCCGGGCAGGAGCCGGAGCCCGCGCGGAGGGACGCTGGGGGGGCCCCCCGGCGCCGAGGGGGGCGCGGGGGCGCCTGAGCCCCGACAGCTTGTAAATCACGAAGGAAAGGCAAACAATTAAAATTAAAGTGGCTGGTCAGTCAACCTAAGTGTAAAGTGGGGGTCCCGCTGAGGTCCAGGAGGCTCTGGGACTCGGGGGGGCGGAAGGGGACGCTGGCCGCGGCCGGGAGGAGCGGCTGCTCCCTGGCCTTGGACTTGCGACAAAGCTCGGGGACCCTGGAGGGAGACAGTGCGGAAGAGACCTCCTCGGGGGACAGTCGGGGGCCCACAGCATCCGCTGCTGTGGCTTGGGCTCGGATTTTGCCCTTTGTCCCGGGCCTGCCCAGCCCCGTCGCCCCTTTCCTAGGGTCCCCCCAGAAAGTGCCGCAGCCTGAGGGGACGAGTCTAGAGCAGCAAAAATGGGGAGTTTTGTTGGCCTCTCTGACAATAAAAAAACAGATCACCCTGAAAAGTTTTCTGAGAAGGCAAGATCAACTCACCCCTACAAATAAAGCTGAACTCAACCTATTTTGTGAGGCCAACATAAAATATGAACAAACTTGGGCCTCCCTGGGGGCGCAGCGTTAAGTCTCAGCACTATGAAGCTATCGGCAGCCACTGCAGCCCGAGTTGGATCCCTGTCCAGGGAGCTACCCACAGGGCGCAGTCAGTCTGCCTGTTCTGCTCCCCACTCTCTCTCTGGGGAATCCTCTCACCCCCTGTAACTCTGGCCTGCATCCCAGTTCTTGTTGCATAAATAAATAAAATAGATCTTAAAAAATATATATATGAATGAACTTTTGGCAAGGCATGGACACAGCCTGCTATGAAGAGCTGGGCACTGGACCAGGCCCGCCCCAGCCTCAGCCCCCCAAGTGCTCCTGGAGCCTGCAGAATCACCTCTGGGGTAGCCCAGACAT